CATTTGAAACTATTTCTGTCCATGGTGACTACCTTGACTCAATGTATATCCGATATGCGAGAGGCAATTGCCTTTTCCTTCTTTCCTCGTAAAAACAATATAAAATTGCAATGGTTCTTGTAACTTATCTACTAGAAAAAAAAGGTTTACACAAAAATATACATAAAATGATCGGTAATAACGTTGACTAATGGTGATTATGTTCCCACCCTTAGTATCTACATTTGTTTACAGTCACGACGTATACAAATGAGTAGACTTACGGCATACAGACGTACCTGATTAGTTTAGCCCTTTAACTACTGAATTCTCTCATTGCCAAAGGCTCAATACAGGGACCACCCGGTTCCAGCAGGCAATTGGTTAAGGTTCGGTCAATGGCAAATTGGTAACTTACGATTTGTATATTGATAGATATTCTGTAATGGAACCATCTAAAATTCGTCAACATTTATAATGTTCGATACAAAACAATATTTTAATTGGGCAGCACTCTCAGTGTGAGAGAATTGCAGAGCTGCGCTAAGGATTTGCGTACCACAGAAATAAAAATGTGTGTTAGATGCCACAAAGTAGTTCAGGTGTTTGACTGACATACACACAAATGTAATAGTATTTGATATTTGTGGTAACATATATATTTTGAACAACCTCTCTCTTTCTCTTGCTCTCTCTCTCTCTCTCTGTATCTCCATATTACACATATATTATACATTTTTGTCATTTTCTATCTAAATGTCTGGACGGGAATACATCTTGCCTCAAATTACTAATAATACCATCGATTGGACCAAGAACGTGTAATTTTAATACATCCTAACTCATAAAATACAAGAAACTCCATTATAGTGTAAGACCTCCTTTAGGACAATATATTTTGTGTGCATCAAAGTACACTCGATTAAACAGAAGATAACAAAACAAGAGTCTATTTAAAAAAATAACATTTTTTAGGTGGCAATGGTGGATTTTGAATATTTGTGTCTGTCCACCAATGCCTTACGAAAGCCTTACAGCTAGTAAGAGATCAAGCTTACTATCAATTAGTATTAACCAACATAATGGATTATCTTACAAGGTGCTTGTGGCTTGGGTTTATCTGACCTATTTGGAAAATCTCATATCTCAAGAAAAGGGTACTACCAAGTTTGCAGACTCATGGAGAGGCAAGCAACGTATCGCCACTTTCCAATTTAAAACAAATGTATAGTGGTACAAATGTCGGTCTCATTTGTTGCCGGTCAGATGGGCTTTCTCGCTCCCCAGAGTCACCGTCAGCTTTACGCAGCGCCCATATTAGATCACGTGTTGACGAGTAAACTTTGTTATGGTCTATGTCTGCTTTGCGGCAACCTGCAGAGCAGGTTTGCGGCTCACGCACGGACCTGATAAATATTCAGGGGGTGTACAAGCTAAAATTTACCAATGGCAGTTTCACCAGGTTAGTTCTCATTCTTTGCATATATTGATAAATAATTATAGTTCAATTCTTAAAGGTATTACACATTTTGGGGAAATTTTGAAAAATGGGTGGATAGTGATTCTTTACAATTGTGATATATTTGGATGCCCCTGTGGATGTATTAAAAGCACTAGAAATTTTTGCCCTATAAAACACTTCTTCTTTCGAGAAAAATTGAATATAAAGGTTTGCCGGTGCTCCCGGTAAATGTTGATACACTTCAAAAAGCTCCTACGGCCGTACAATGGTAGCAGCGACCATGACAATATCAGAATATGTAATTGTGGTATATAATTTCCGAACGGGAATAGCTAATCGGTCGATTTTAGTCAATAAGCATTGTTTTATAGCTTAATTAATATCTTGACCTTGAAAGGGAGCTATTCAATATGAAGTGTTTTTTGTTTACAATTTCATAACTTTAGAGTTGATTTCGACCGCGACAACAATTACTCAATATTGTAGGATTGCATTATGCTTCCAATATGTTCATTTGAACCAAAATCATGACCACAAACCAAAACTTTGTATTACCTTTAAGGGAAAGACTGTGCATATTGTTATCGCAAGATAGCTTAAATGACTGCTATCGTATGTCAGTTGGAAACATTGTAAAACAACTTTTAGATGATATAGAACAAAACAGGTGCTTGATCTAACGTTTTTTCATTATTATATAATGCTTTCCAGGCAAATTAAGAGACAAAACATTCCTTTTTCACGAAGTGACGGTAGTGAGGAAAATCCGCACGCAAATTGTATGCGATTTTCATTCACTACCGTCACTTCGTGAAAAAAAGGGACGAAAATATCCAAATGGATTAACAAAATTTAATATCCTCGACTAGTGCCTAAGGATAACAAGATGGAACTGAGTTACTGTCTCCTTAAATAATCAATGAATTAGACATAAATCGTAATTAAATGTGTTTGTTCTCCAAAACAAAAGGATCATATTTCCTTTGAACTAAGAAAAGTACCCCGACGCATTTGTTTTCTTCTGCAAAGCTATACAGGAATTTGGAATATATAATAAAATACAAGCGATGCGGGTGTGCGGATCGTCGGCGGACCTGATCACTATTCAGACCTCATAAAGATCAATATCGTGATGAGCTGTTCTTTATGGCGGAATGCACGCGTTATATTTCCCTTCACATCCCATATAATATGCCAGCATTGTACTTTCAAGGGTTATTGTTTGAATCATTTCAAGTTTGACTCTAAATGTCTGGCGTAAAGCGACTACATAGAGAAAAAAGATAAATGATAATTTTCTGTATTAAGTTATTCTAGCTTTGTCAAATGAAATACAACTTTAGCAATTTTAGATTATGGGAAAACAAAGACTGACTTATGTATCTTATATTGGCAGGATAAACACTGGACATCTCGGAACCAATAATGGTCAAGTTGGTTCTTTGAACTAATATATATATATATATATCTGCCATATATATATGGCAGAATGATGATGACATAAATCAGCATATCCCGAACATTTGTCTATAATTTGGTTTGGGAATCAGATTGATGATGACGTTACATTACTACCACAATTACTATGACACTCCTGTCTAGCTGTGCTTACTAACTTTGACACAGCAGACCTGCACGTTTACTCCATACTCATCCCAATTCCAAACATATATTGGATACCACAAACAAGCTGAGACGTTTGACTGGAATAATTTTAGATAGATTACTTACAAACATACACGTGCTTTGTTAGCAGTCAGGTAAGACAAATAACAAACCAAACACTGGACAGAAATAAAAACATCCACATAAACGTTCGTTCTATGCAATTTATCAAATTGAAATTGGTGAATAGCACATCGCCAGTCGTTTGATCAACGTTTGAAAACCGATACCTCCGTAGTAGAAGTAAGCAATTTAGATAAAGCCATGCTGTATTAAAAGCAGTACACAAACATCCCCTTTATTGACAGATCAGAATTAGCAACAATCAAATGGATGTTCCTTACTTTCCTAAAGAGCTTTTATTCATGATTCAATAAAACTTCTGTACACAAAAAGAAGGGCTATTATACACATAATGTTGTTAATTGATATTCATTTGGTATATAGAAAACATTACCACAAGCCGAATTAAAAGGAGACAGGACAAAACATACACAAATATCTCTTCCGAATAAACACATTTGATTAAATGTCACACAAGACCCAAGCAAATACGGATGTGCTACAAACTAGGTAATGCGTTCAACTGGAACTTTCTTTCCTCACATACCCTCTTTCCGCAATTTCGTCCAGAAGACAATTGTTAATATTAACGATTACCGTCTACAACCCTTTTCAAGGGATCCATATTGAATTAAATAAAAAAGAATAATATAATAAAGTCGAAAAGTTTCCATGGTCCTTAAATTTCGAAGTTTCATTACCCTCAATGAATAATTTGTCACTGCTTAACATTGTATGATGTAATTTCAAATTGCAATGTACAAGTTTTTTTCTTGTTAAGAAATAACTACAGAAAATCACTTTAAAATAATTTATTATGACCTTCCTTACAGGTTCAATTCCTTGCAGTGCCCCGTACATTCCCGCACACGCACATGTTACAAATCCTCGTCTCAACTACAATTTTGGTGCCAAAATTACTGTGACGTGCAATGCCAGTTCTGATACCTTCAACCTTCAGTGTCATAACAAAGGGCTTTGGAGTGGACCGATTGTATCCTGCCCTGAATCGATCGCAAGGGGTAAGATAATATTCAAATCCGTACCCGTTGTAGGATCACTTTGCTTCTATTAAGATTATAATCTAAACAATGCATCAAACCCCCTAACACTCAGTCAGGTAGTACGATGCGTGAATATGTTCGTCCCATTACGAAACGTTCTGAACGGAATGTTTCGCTCTGTTCATGAACACATGTCCATAGTCCAACTTAATTACCCGAATGAATCCTGAGCTGCCAAGACACTGTAAACTCGCAATGCTAGTAAAGCTGATGAGCACTAATTTCCAAATGGTAGTGCTGAATTTGTTGCAAACGTGATTGGTTCTGATGATCTTTAGTCAGTATATATTTTCTTGTTGTACTTCATTACATGAGAAGCATTCGCAATTTGGTGAAGTTGAAACATATTGTTTTCGTTTAGTTTAGTTAACACAATACTCCACAGACTGGCCCGAATTCACAAAGGAGGTTTGTCGACAAACCTCCTTTTGTTTCGACAAACCTTTTTTTTTCTTTTTTTTTACAAACCAAGGTTTGTAATAACGCGTCGAAACGCGTCGTATGACGCACATAAACCTCGGTTTGTCGACAAACCTCCTTTGTGAATTCGGGTGAAAGCGTTCAGACGTAACATAGGAATTGTAGGCATTTCGTAAAGTTGTGAAGCAAGTAACTTATAATTTGTTTCCCTCAACTCTAGCTCTTCCGACGAACTGTAATGCTCCTTCCGTCCCGAGATACTCTACGCTCGAAACCCTTAGCCCGAATTATAACCTTGGAGACAGTGTGACATTCCGATGTGACAATACCACCATTCAACCGTTCAGTCTTCTGTGTGAAACCACTGGGTTATGGAGCGGACCTATGCAGTCATGCCCGCCACCCGTCTCAGGTATCTATGACATATGGGTATACATTATTGCCACAGATATGCATCTAAAAGGGACTAAAAATATAACTCCGATAAGAGTCAAGTTTGCGAGTTTTTCAAAATTTTGATCATTTTAGATCATAAACATTGACAACGACTGAAATATATGAATAGTTATGCTGCCTTGTTAGTTAGTTAGTTATATGCTGCATTGAGGTTTATAAAGAAGTGAACAATATAACGGCATTAACATGTATTGTGTGCATTGGTATCTGAAACTTATCCCCCTGACAGGAAGAGTTCGACTGGCTTTCGTCATAGACGATCTTTAGATTGATGGTCATGATAATGGAGGAAGATATATTAAATCTTAATATTAGATTCAGGGGGAAAAAAACATTACTGTGCAAACTGTAATTGTAATTGACTTATTAGCAGGTAACATTTAGATGTTAGCTTATCATCGAAATGTAGGGTCGATCAACACTTGTGATTATAATAAAGACTTTGTCTAGACAAAGCATTAGATAGAGATAGGTATTAATAATTCAAGTTATGAGGTACAGTAGGGTAAAAGCTTCATCGCTGTGCTATTGGTCGTAAAACTGTTCGCCATTATCCATAATTGTAGCATTAACATTATGGTATCAACACATCAGCTCCTAGTTTAAACTGTAGATATAGATCACAACTTTCTCTGTCTTAACTACTAATGATATATTAAGAAACATTCGTATTGCATTTCCATTCACAGCTCCTACACGATGCACTAGTCCATTTATCCCAAAGTATGCATCAGCTGAAAACGTACGTTTGGCCTACAGCATCGATGAGACGGTAACAATCACCTGTGACAGCACACCAGACAGATCGTTCACCCTTCAGTGCAAACCAGATGGGTTTTGGACGGGTGGTGTCCATTCTTGCCCACCGCCTTCAGAAGGTTTATTAGCTTTATTTATTATTCATCTATTCATTAATTATTATTCATTTATCTACCCACCTATCAATTGTCCAAAACATTTATATATCAAAGAACATATAGAACCCCATTGATCCTACGCGCATACGTGTGTAATGAACTTAACACTTGGCGTTGTTAGTGGTTGTAGTCAAAAGAAGATAGCATCCAACCACTTAATTGTTTTCTGTTATCACTTATTACACCTCGGAATTGATCATATTTTGCATGATGTTACCAAGGATTATCCAGCCTCTTATGGTTACAGTATAGTCCTTAGTCCTTGTTGCTTGTTATAATATCTAGTTATCTATTATTAGTATATATTAATTGTTCTAGTTAGTGAGCAGAGAATGTTACAATTAAGTTACAACTTCACTTTGTTATACATATATTTATTTTAATATTGCAGTTACAGGTACAGCTTAGAGTTAGATTGCTATAGGCCTTCTGTTATCATTTTTTACAGATACAGGTTACATGTTACAGTTACATTGTATATACGTAGTATAGTTTTAGTTTTAGTTTGTTAGATTCTTTAGTATTTGTACGATTTGTTGTTAATTTCTTGTTATTATACTCGTCATGTTCATACTCCGCTATTATCCCTATCTATATGTAACATATGTTTTATGGACCACTGCCTTGTGCAGCTGAGTCTGAAATAAAGTTCTGTATTGAAAATTAAATTGAATTAACATTATTCTTTGTTTCTCCTGTTTACGTTCAGAGATATTCTCAAATAACATTTCAGGTAGATAAATGTTTGTTTTACCAACTACCATCGTTACTTGATTTTATGTACAGTTCCGGAGAAGTGCAGTGCCCCTTACGTTTCACGGTATGCAACCATTCAAGGCCTGCAACTGAATTATGACTATGGTGACAGCATTACTGTGACATGTGACAATAGCACTGCTCAGTTTACCCTTCAGTGTCACACAAAAGGTCGGTGGAGTGGCCAGGAAGTTTCTTGTCCCGTACCTACCCCAGGTAAGACCTTTTTTATTGTAAAATTATTTGATTTTATTTCATATGAATCATTGTTTTCGTCTAAACCGCCCCATATGTTAAAGCTTTATTTATTATGCATTAATTATTATTCATATTTATAAATTGTCAAAAACTTTTAAATGTTACCTTATATACAGTGCGTCCAAGAAAAAACGAAACCGAGAAGTATCGATGTTCTATCATAACTTAATCACAACTATAATTAATGAATGATACATATTTGGAAAGCTTAGAGTCTCCTCTTTCGGTTGATGCTATTCACGTGATGCATATTTCACGCATGAGTGATTAAAAGCAATTTGAAGGAAGGAAACCAAAAATACATTTGGCGGGCGGTATCTGAATTTCAAAGAAAAATTCATATTTCTAGAAAGTTCATTTTCTGCCCTTTCATATGACACCTCAATCAGGAAAAATGAGCGAGGAATGACAAAGTTCTGTTTGATTAAAGTAGTGCTTGCATTTCCATAAATTTATTAAACGAATTCGTTTTCACTGGGTGCCTGCCGTATCAATAAACGAAATTAACAAAAGACTTAACTCCGTTTCGTTGACAATCAGCCGTAGACGAGAGTCTTAATGCATGGCTGATTGTCAACGAAACGGAGTTAAGTCTTTTGTCAAATCTGCTTTTTGCTACGGCAGGCACCCAGTGAAAACGAATTCATTTGTTAAAATTATGAAAATGTAAGGGCTACTTTAAACAAACAGAACTTTGTTATTCCTGGCTCATTTTTATTGATTGAGGTATCATATGAAAGAGCAGAAAATGAACTTTCTAGAAATATGAATTTTTCTTTGAAATTCAGATACCGCCCGCCAAATGTATTTTTGTTTATATGTATATGTATATGTATATATATGTATCATTCATTAATTATGGTTGTGATTAAGTTATGATAAAACATAGATACTTCTCGGTTTCGTTTTTTCTGGGACGCACTGTATAGAGCACCTCTCTCCCTACGCACACACGTATACAATTAACTGTACAGTTGTTTTCGTTCGTGATTGTGGTTTAAAAAAAAGGATTGCATCTAACCATTTAATTTGTTTTGTGTTATCATTCAAGAACATTATACTTTATTTCTCCCGTTTACGTCCAGAGATATACTCAATTAACATTTCAAGTAGATAAACGATTTATCCTCTTCACCTGATTTTCTTTACAGTTCCGGAGAAGTGCAGTGCCCCTTACGTTCCAAGATATGCAACTATTCAAGGCCTGCAACTGAATTACGACTATGGTGACAGCATTACTGTAACATGTGACAGCAGCACTGCTCAGTTTACCCTTCGGTGTCGCACGAAAGGTCGATGGGGTGGCCAGGAGGTTTCTTGTCCCGTACCTACCCCAGGTAAGACTTTTTTTTAATTTTTTTTTGTTTAATTATTTTATTCCATTTGATTAACTGTTTTTGTCTGAAACTCCCCCCCCCCCCCCCAACAAAAAAAAAAAAAAAGAAAGAAAGAAAGAAATAAATTCGACTGGCTTTTGCAATATACTTGACAATTGTTTTTGTTGATAGTTTTGGTCAACAGAATATAGCATTCAACCACTTCATTGTTTTCTGTTATCACTCATTAACATTATTCTTTGTTTCTCCTGTTTACGTCCAGAGATATACTCAAATAAGTTTACAAGTAAATAAATGTTTGTAGTACCAACTATCATCTTTACTTGATTGTCTTTACAGTTCCGGAGAAGTGCAGTGCCCCTTACGTTCCAAGATATGCAACCATTCAAAACCTGCAACTGAATTATGACTATGATGACAGCATAACTGTAACATGTGACAGCAGCACTGCTCAGTTTATCCTTCGGTGTCACACGAAGGGTCAATGGAGTGGCCAGGAGGTTTCTTGTCCAATACCTACCCCAGGTAAGACTTTTTTTTTTTTGGATTCGATTTGATTAACTGTTTTTGTCTAAAACCCCCCCCCCCCCCCCCCCAATTTCGACTGACTTTCGCAATTTACTTAATAAAAGTTTTTGTTGGTGGTTGTGGTCATCAAAATATAGCATTCAACCACTTCGTTGTTTTCTGTAATCACTCATTAACATTATTCTTTGTTTCTCCTGTTTACGTCCGGAGATATACTCAAATAAGTTTTAAAGTAGATAAATGTTTGATGTACCAACTATCATCTTTATTTGATTTTCTGTACAGCTCTGGACAAGTGCAGTGCCCCTTACGTTTCACGATATGCAACCATTCAAAACCTGCAACTGAATTATGACTACGGTGACAGCATTACTGTAACATGTGACAGCAGCAGTGCTCGGTTTACCCTACGGTGTGGCACGAAAGGTCAATGGAGTGGCCAGGAAGTTTCTTGTCCCGTACCTACCACAGGTAAGACTTTTTGTTATTGTAAATTTATTTAATTTGACTCTTGTTTTCATCTGAACCCCCCCCCCCGTATTTTAAAGCTTGATTTATTATTCCTCAATCATTATTAATTAATTTACCTATAGTTATCAATTGTCAAAAACTTGTAAATAATACCTAATACATAGAGCGTCTATGCCCCTACGCACGCACGTATATAAGTAACTGTAAAGTTGTTGTCGTGGGGAGTGTGTGTTAACGTGCCCCTTCCCTTGTTCATAGACGCAGGTTATGTCAAGTGGAAAACACTCCGTCCCTCGGATAGGACGTTAAATGGAGGCCCCGTGTAGAGAAGAGTCACTGCCTTTGCACGTTAAGAACCCACTGCACTATTCTTATAAGGGTATGGGGAAACCCCGATGTAGTTGTCCACCTGCACACACCCCCAGTATAGTACGATAATACTCTGTAAAGAGGTCTGTACTCAAACGGAAGAAGAAGAATTGTGTCTGTGTTATCATTCAAGAACATTATACTTTATTTCTCCCGTTTACGTCCAGAGATATACTCAATTAACATTTCAAGTAGATAAATGTTTGTTGTACCAGCTATCAACTTTATTTGATTTTATTTCAGTTCCGGAGAAGTGCAGTGCCCCTTACGTTCCAAGACATGCAACCATTCCAAACCTGCAACTGAATTATGACTACGGTGACAGCATTACTGTGACATGTGACAATAGCAGTGCTCGGTTTACCCTTCAGTGTGACACGAAAGGTCGATGGAGTGGCCAGGAAGTTTCTTGTCCCGTACCTACCCCAGGTAAGACTTTTATTTGTATTTAATTTATTCATAGTTTCTGTCTAAAACTTACCCCCCCCCCCCACCTTTCGACTGGTTTTCGCAATATACGCGCCATTAATCAATGGTCATGATGATGGAGGAAGATATGTTAAATCTTCATATAGATCCGGGGAAAAGTAAATGTGCAAATTATAAGAGTTCACATTTCCAAAAAGGGTTTAACCAACGACAATATAATTATCGAATGAGCTTAAACATTAACACAGAAAAAATGGCTTGACATGACACGGTAGACCCGACTTAATATCATGTAACATTTTGAGCTGGGCTTTACATGACAATGTCGGATATATCGACGCTTCTGATTATAACTAAGGCTATGTCCAAACGAAGCATTATATAGAGATATGTATTACTAATTCAAGTTAGGAGGTCCAGTACGTAGAGTTACAGATTAACTAATTTATTTATTTATGCATGTTTATAATTTCAAAATTCATTGAAATTAACATCACATGAAAAATTAATGTAATATAACAAATCATTTTCAATTTTACATGGATCATGGATGAATAAGTGTAGAAAAAGAATATAACATTGTTTTATCAAAGACAAGTTGCAACTTATATACAGTTTGAAGAATGAACACACAAAGGTGATGAAACATAAGCAAATAGAGCTTGAATCGTTACAACACCTTTCAAAGATATAATATATGACAAATAAAGTTCCTAAAGTTTTGTAATGAACTATTTACACTATTTACAAAGTTAAACAAAGAAAGAAAAAAAAAATTCTTTATACTAGTAACAAAATTATGTTAGATTTAATTAGAACTGATAAATAGATTATAATGTAAGTAATATCTTACATCTGTGAAATGATAATACATTTGAGTGCTCTTTTAAAGGAGTTTGTTGATTTTATATTTCGAATATCATTAGGTAAAGAATTCCATACATCAGTTCTAATTGCTGCGGAACAAGTCGTAAAACTGTTCGACATTCATAATTGTAATACGTACATTAGGGTTTCAGTAAATAAGGTACTAGTTTGAATTGTAGATATTAATCATACCTTTCTATGTTTAAAATAATAATGTGAGTTTATGAACCATACGTTTTGAATTTCCATTCACAGCCCCTACACGTTGCACTAGTCCATATATCCCAAGGTATGCATCAGCTGAAAACATACGTTTGGTCTACAGCATCGATGAGAGGGTAACAATCACCTGTGACAGCAGAACAGACAGATCGTTTACCCTTCAGTGCAACTCAGATGGGTTTTGGACGGGTAGTGTCCTTTCTTGCACACAGCCGATAGAAGGTTAGCTTTATGTCTTATTAATTAATCATTAATAATTATTCAATGATCCACCCACCTATCATCTGCTAACTTGTAAATAAATACATAATATTTAGCACCCCAATGCTCCTACGCGTTCACGTGTATACTTAATATAACAATTGTTGTCTGTGGTGGTTGTGGTCAACAGAATAGTTGATGCAACCTCTTTATTGTTTTCCTTTTATCATTCAGCAACATCTTACCTTTTTTATACCCCTTTAACGCTTAAAGATAAAATCAGATAATACTAAAAAGTGGATAAATTTGTGTTGTACCTACTATCATCTTTACTTGAATTTCGTTACAGTTCCGGAGAAGTGCAGTGCCCCAAACGTTCCAAGATATGCATCCATTCAAGGCCTGCAACTGAATTATGACTACGGTAACAGCATTACTGTGACATGTGACAGCAGTAGTGATCGGTTTAACCTTCGGTGTGACACGAAAGGTCGGTGGAGTGGCCAGGTGGTGTCCTGTCCTAGACCTCCACAATGTAAGACTTTCAATTTTGATTTGATTGCTTTCCTTATATTTACCAGAAACTTATCCCTCCCCCTTTGAATTCGACCGCTTTTATCATAATTCAAGCCCCAAATCAATGGTCATGATGGCGGAGATATAATGAATCTGAACTTAGATCCAGGGAACACTGACAGGTCCTGTGCCAATTGTGAGAGTTTACATTTTAAAAGAGATTTTGACCAACATAAATAAAATTGCCCCAAATGCCTGATGTATCTATAACAAAATAGAATTTTACCATAGTAAAAATGTAATTTGTGGACTGCTCGCAAATTTTAGACATAGGACTTGTCCGTTCGCGTGTACTAAGGCATTGACGTGTACCAGAGTGATGTAAAATTAAGCTTGTGTAATTATTAATTAACCATACTAAAAATGACATATTTTTAGAAATTGAGTAATTATGTATGTATGTGTGTGAAAACCTAACAAATTATTCTTGATGTCTGTATATTTTGTTATAACTACACAATCAACATGGTCGTGTATTTGTATCATTGTCCTTGTCTAAGTATTGATACATTTTTGATACTTTATTCTCGGGGGAAAATAAGACAATCTATCATGTTACCTGGAACAGACTGCGATTTCATTGTGATATTATATCGTCATTGTGAATAATCTATGAGAATACCTGCTGGGGAGCTGGAAATAATGCTCAAAATGCGATAATAAGGGCAATGATATGTGTAAGGTGCTTCATATATGTGTTAAGTGTTTCTTTACATTTCTATCGTAATATCATTTTTGTTTGTGCTAGACAGTGCTTAACAATGCTATTGACAGTTGTATTTTATTGTTTTCGTTATATTACTAATGCTTTCTTTACTATTACCTGATTATTTATTCATGTTCTTATGCTACATACCGTCCTTGTTTTCACGAAGTGACGGTAGTGAGGCAAATCGTAACGCAAAGTGAATGCAATTTTTTTTCACTACCGTCACTTCGTGAAAACAGCGACGATACGTGCTTTCCTTGTTTCATCGAACCTCACCCTCCAATGACTTTATGTTACATTTTACTATCAGCTCCATCTCAATGCAGTGCTCCTGTTATTCCAAGACATTCTACCATTGCATTCTACCGAATGACCTACAACTCAGGTGATGACGTGATTGTTACTTGTGATGCAAACAGCGATCGTTTTACCCTTCATTGTAACAACAGTGGAATTTGGAGTGGACCGGAAATGTCTTGTCGAGAACCAGTCAAACGTAAGATATTTGGTTTTTATCTGACTAATATGGTAATGTGCTCGGTTTACTTTAACCAACAATTAAATATTCATGATATTAAGTAGATTTTTACTACTTGTCAAGCGGGAACTCAATATTTTTACCATCCTCATTCTTTTTTTAATTTGTTATCTTTGCATGTGTAATTATATATTTATTCATACCGTTCTCTATACATATACCTATTCTCTACCTGTCTATCATTTTCCATTTTCATTCTTCCTTTCCTCAATATCTTATACATCCTTTGGTGTTGCCTACAACGTTTACCTTCTATAAAATTATATTCCTTCGTGTGACATTTTTCCTCTTGCCTTTTCATTATTTAGTATCGTGCATTAATAGTTACTGATAGCAGTGGGGTATTTGTGTCCATTCAATTTTATTAACGTAGTCTTAATTTTTTTTTTTTTTTACATTCAATTTTATTTGTTTTTTCTTTGCGTCAAAAAGTATTAATATTACATTCTACTTCACTGCAGAGGCATTTACAATATAGACTGTGACTGTTGGTTATGTTTATTTTTTATTTTTTAAATCGAATCGAACTTGAATTAAATAGAATCTAAAAAAGGCCTTTTAAACTAATTGAGGTGAACACTAAATGCATGGCAGGTTACATATTTCTGCATCAGGTCATTTGCAGATTAAGTAATGATCGCCCTTTTATAATGTTAATTTAATAACTCGCACATGGGATTAATTATGCGAATTCTTTTTATTGAGCGTAACAAAATATTTATACAGTGTTATAATCGTTACCATGCCATTTTCAGGCCGAACGTTCAACGTTTCAAAGTGAGTCCGAAGGCTCAACATTTTGATGGCTGTTCCAAAGTTCCGTTAATACAAAGGGTTGATGTTTTGTAAAACCAAAAATGCGATATGGATCATAATTTTAATAAAATAGAGAGGGATTTAAATTCCAACAGTTGAAATAATTTTAGAATTACGAACGTTGAGATGAACGAAACTTATTTTATGTTAATAATTATGAATCTTATTTCATATTGGGAATTACAAAACTTCAAGAAAATGGCACGTTAGCATCCATCAAAATTATGAGTCGTCAGCCTAAAAATCTTTGAAAATAACGAATCCTCGCAATTTAAAACCTTCGGAGTAACACACAATCTCGAAAGTGCTACCAAGGCTGGAAATTGCAATTAGTGTATTCGGAATTATTCTATGGATATTTGGAATTACGAACCTTTACCCCGCTCCCCAACGTTATACATTAAACGAATCATAATAATGTTAGATTTATATTGCGCAATGCTGTACACTACAGTGCGTCCCAGAAAAAAGAAACCGATAATTATCGATGTTTTATCATAACTTAGCCACATTTATAATTAATAAATGACACATATCTGGAAAGCTTAGATCCTCCTGTTTCATTTGATGCAACTGAAATGACGCATATTTCACGCATGAGTGAGTAAAGTTATTTTAAAGAGAGGAAGCCAACAAGTCGTTTGGCGGACGGTATCTGAATATCAAAGAGAAAATCATATTTCTTGAAAGCTGAGGTTCTGCCCTTTCATATGACACCTCAATCAGGAAAATGAGCAAGGAATGACAAAGTTCTCTTTGTTTAAAGTAGTGCTTGCATTTCCATATTTGTATCAAACGAATTCGTTTTCACTGGCTGTCTGCCGTAACAACAAGCAGAATTGACAAAAGACTTAACTCCGTTTCGTTGACAATCAGCCATGCATCAAATCTTTCGTTTACGGCCGATTTTCAACGAAACGGAGTGAAGTCTTTTGTCAATTCTGCCTGTTGTTACGGCAGGCAGCCAGTGAAAACGAATTCGTTTGATAAAAATATGGAAATGGAAGCACTACTTTAAACAAAGAGAACTTTGTCATTCCTTGCTCATTTTTCCTGATTGAGGTGTCATATGAAAGGATAGAAACTGAACTTTCTAGAAATGTGATTTTCTCTTTGAAACGCAGATACCGCCCGCCAAATGACTTTTTGGTTTCCTCTCTTCAAATTGGTTTTAATCACTCATGCGTGAAATATGCATCATATGAGTTGTAACAAATGAAAGAAGAGGATTTAAAATTTACAAATATGTGTCATTTATTAATAATAAATATGGTTAAGTTATGATAAACATCGATAACTCTCGGTTTCGTTTTTTCTGGGACGCACTGATAATGTGATGTTTTATTTTGAGGTTTCAGCGGTTTCAGTTTTGAATTTGTCTTCTTCTTTCCCCAAAATGCTGTGAATATGACAGCTCCAACACTGTGCAGTGCACCTTATATTCCGAGATATTCTTCGATTGAAAGTCATCATTTGAACTACAACAATGATGAAACAGTGTCAGTGACATGTGACACGAACAGTGATCAATTCACTTTACGGTGTCAGGCAAGTGGATTATGGGATGGCCCTGATATATCCTGTGCAGCACCGACATTGCCGAAAATCCCAGCTTCATGTAAGTAAATATATTTTGGGTATTATATCGGAATTTTTTTCTTTTTTATACTCCCTTGTTTCCACCATCATCATGTTCTTCTTCATTATCATCACCACTACCATTACCTTAACCATTGCATAAATGGGGCCCGAAGAAATATAAAAACATAAATATAAAAGTATCATGAACGCGCACTGAGACGATGACAAATATTGTGCTTAATCCCTTACAATAACCACTGATATTTCGAATAAAATTTTTTTTCCGGAGAACGTGATATTTTGTTATTAAACAAAAAAAAAAATAGTACATTTAGAACTCAATCCTGTTTTTTTAAATCTTGTACTGTTTTTCATTTCAGTTTCTTTCTTTCTCTTTTCATCTCTTCGATTTCTAGAATCTAATTTAAAGCAACTTTTTAAATATAAACATTGTTTTCCTTTTATGTGTTGCTGTCCCAAACTTAAAAACGCTTTAATTGCCATTACAATGAACAATACCTAGTGTAAATATTTGGAAGGGTATTGGTTCTGTGTGAGTAATAAAACTTGGCTTTACTGAGCCGAGTTGTACAGGTATACAGAGAGGTTCAAATCACCTGTTCAATACGTTTTTGTTTTATTTCACACATTAATTATTTTAAGAACGTCACAAATTTAAATATCCTAAAGAATTCCTAAAATATTCCATTAGTACAGTACCTCGTGGCCTCCATAAGATTGTTTGCATGTATTCTCTCCACAGTTCCTCCATCACATGCCTCCTGCAGTGCACCAGCAGTGCCTATTGATTCAACCATTCAGAATCTTCGTCTCTCATACAAAGACGGCGACAGGATGAACGTGACATGTAACGTGGGTTCTGATTGGTTCGACGTGTCATGTGACGATGGAATATGGATAGGCCAAAACATAGTTTGCCCTGACCCTCCCAAAGGTATGCAAAACATACTTCTTTTTTTTAAAGTTACCCGTCGTTAAGTGATCTAATGTAATACAGATGTAAAGGTGTGTGATATAGGGCTTCATTCACTTGACTCTCAGTGGAAGGGTTGAGGGATCGAATCCCATCCCGCTACTAACGTACTTTGAACACATCGTTGCACATTCGCCTATTTTAGACCATGTACATATAGGTGCCTGATAATCACCGGGACATTAACAATTGCAAGACGTAGACCCAATCAATATTTATTGTTAATAACGTTGATTATCTAAAAATGACGCGAGGATAGGAGGTAATATGATCTTTACAAGATTGTAAGCGCCCTTTAAAAAAACGTATTATCTATTTGAGTGTGTGTGTGTGTGTGTGTATGTACATCCACTGAGTGAGTACTGTGTGTGTGGGGGGGGGGGGGGGGGGGGGGGTGGGTGGGTGGGTGGGTGAGTATGTGTGTGAGTGGGTGAGTATGTTTGTGTGATAGAGGGTGAGTATGTCTGTGTGATGTAGGGGGCAGGGAGGGGGCAGGATTGTTTCAGTAAAATTATCTCCAGATTTGTTTTTTTTTTGTAATATATAAGTAAATAACATTTACAATTGATATTATGTTTAGGTACTTATACGTTTACTTTGTTGCTAAGTTATATTATACTGCAAATAAGTTTGTGTTTAATTATGTTTATGTAAAAGCATCAATATTGAACACGTTTATTTTATTCAATTGTATGTCATGGTTTGTATTACACATCTGGAGAAATAAAACTAAATTGTTAAAAAAAAATTTAAAAAAAAAAAATGTAAGTTGGCGTGCGTGTGTGTGTGTGCGTGTGTGTGTGCATTGGACAGTTTGTACCGTGCAGGATCAAGGTAACTCCATTTTCAATCATCAAAGATATGCACTGTTTGGGGGCAACTACAAGCGCTCGAAAGAGGCTTCCCTAAATGATTATTGTGCTGTAATCATTGAAGAGTCTTCGAAGGAGCCATAGATTTGGAATATTCTACAATTTTCTGTTTGTGTACAAATATACCCTAATCCAGTGAATCAGTTTGTTGTAATGTTTAAATACTTCGTTTGCAGAATGCAATCCACCAATCATCCCCGTCGTCTCATTCATGGGAAATGTTAAGCCTCGCTACAAGATTGGTGACCAAGTCAACATCACATGTAACGACGACTCTGATTGGTTCGCTTGGGAATGTCACACAGATGGCTTGTGGCGTGGGAATTCCGTCCAGTGCTCTACTGATTGTCTCCCACCCGGAGGTTATTATGCACTTAGAAATGTCTGATATAAGGGATAATTTGGTACCATACTATGCACTATGAACATGACGGACAAAGAAAGAGGACAGAATATACAGTTCCTCATTATACCCTCAACAATTGGTGTGGTAGACAAAGGAACATCCCTTCACTGCTATTATGTAACAATGTGTAGAACAGGTGTCACATGCATATTCACCTGTTCTACACATTTTTACATAAGAGCAGTGAAGGGATGTTCCTTTGTCTACCACAGCAATTGTTGAGGGTAGAATGAGGAACTGTATATTTTGTCCTCTTTCTTTGTCCGTCAGGTTCATAGTGATGATAACAATCTTGTCCTATATTTTAGTATAGTTATGATGTAAATAATTATCATCTTAATACGTTGCATACTACAAGATTAAAAGTAATAAATGTACACTGGTCCTTTTAAATGTAAATATAAGTAATATGAGAGAATGCCTGTCCGCCACAACACAAATTTGGGAGAGTTTATACTAGCTTTTATGTTGCACAATATATTATCTCTTGAAGGAACGAGTAAAACACGGTGATGAATAACAAAAGCCAAAGCATTTTTGACATAAGATGGGAAAGAAAACAAATTGTAAAGGGAAAAAGGATACTGCTTTACAAATTAAGCTCATCTATTTGAAAATTATAAATAATAGTCCATCAATTTACCTATTTGGAATTTTATTATTACCGTTTATTATTTACCTCCCTATTTATTTTGTCCATGTATTTTTTTCTTGCAAAAGTTGTTGTTATGATAATTTATCTTGTTATCTTTTTATTTTGTTGATCATATCTTACGGGGCTGCTGTGATCATGTACGGGAAATTGCTGTTTTGTTTGTTTTTTAACGAATATCTGAGAAAAAGAAATACAAATATAATAAAGAATATAATCACACATATAATAATGGTATATATACAAAGACGAGCACATTTACAAATGCGATTACAAATACGAAGAAATTCCAATGTAAATGATGCACATGAAAATGAAATTATGCAAATACAAATACGAATAAAAATACAAATACAAATTCAAATGAAAATACAAATTTAAACAAAACAAAAATACAAATACAAAAGCAATCACAAATTAGATTACGAAAAATACTCATTCAAATTCAATTACTGAAATTTAATACAAATATATATCTTGATATTTTGGTCTTTGCATATAACCAAATCTTTATATTTACAGGAGAAAAACCTTCATTCCCAGAGCGTATTGCATATTCTAGTAGTGAGCAGAAGGGAAGGGATTACTTTATCACCGGTCTTCTGGTTACAGCTGTCATCTTATTCATCCTTGTTCTGATGTGTATGGCGGCGTTTGTCATCTTCGTAAGAAAGTAAGTTTATATTTACCATTATAATGGTATAATGTCTAGATATGTACAATAACTCGTTATTATTTTTTCAGTGTAATTTATCTTTACGCACAACATTTTTTATGATGAAAATCAAACTCTCAGTTGATTTCAGGCATTTAACCATTTTACGTCAATAACTCAAGGTGCTCGGACTTATAGAAGGAGGCTGAAAACCCGCCGCTCGTCCCCATAATTTGTAAGACTACCAGTACTTGGGGAAAACGTTTCCTTGAAATCAAGGAACGAGGTGGTTTCGTGGTTGTTGATACGTTTTCGGTATCATCTTAGAAGGGAAACAAATAATAATAGAATTACACCGCAAATAAACTCCAGGAAAAAAATCCTTACCAACTTTGTTAGTTAATTTTGGAAAAGACGTTGACATATTCAGGCAATTTGTGTCAGAGTTATTGTATAGGTACATCTTTCAAAAGTAGCTGAACCAACAGAAGTGTTTAGTTGGAAACATTATTAAATAAATGGAAACAAATATATGTTTATGAAATGCAACCTTAAATCCCAACTTAAGTGTTGGGAGTCCCGAATTCGCCAGATGTTCTTTCATCAGTATTCGACTTCAAACATTTTTAAATGTTAGAAATGTTTTACATAATGAACAGCGCACTTATAGTTCCCCTAATTTAACGATGCAATTGAAAACTGAATAGTAAATTGAATTTTATTTGAATACAATATTTGTCTAAAATTACATTTTGTAATTTACAGTCGTGGCTATGATTTAGCAACATCATCAAAAGACAATCTTCAAGATGAGAAGGGATCCAGAGGACCTCTTCCTGACGTTCCTGACGGTTATGCCAAGTACATTGGTGGTGACCAGTCACTCTATGTCGAACCATACCTCAAACAAAGTGGAGATCCCATTCGAAGCTATGAAGTCTACGAAAAACCAACTTGAATAAATTACTACCAGTTTTAGATTCGATGAGCACTTTCATATAGGAAAACTCGACTCTTGTTTATTAGCCTTCTTTTATACTTATGCTGTTATTCTGTGTTGTTGTTTAATTTTTAAAAATTTTGATTAATATTTTCTTCAAATGTTAGAAGCTATTTCACGCATTAATTCCCCTTTCCCCACTTGTTTACATGTACATTCAATATATGAACATGGCATACCATTTATACCCTCTTCTTTTTCACAATGCATTCATTGTTGTCTTGGATCCACAACTGAATCCATTGAATATATAAATATATATATATTTTTTTTAAATTGAATGAAAGTTATAAACGTTTATGTTAATTTATGTCATGATTGTTCAAGTAAGAATATGATTAAGACCAATATCGCTCCTGTATCCTATTATTATTATTGAGATAATTTTAAGATGAAGTTAAACCATTTTTGCTTGCTGTATAGTAGATAGGAGATGTATACATCAAGATAAAGAGGGTTTTTCTTCATAATGATTTTTAATTTTCTTTCTCAAACATGTCCTGGTTAATATAAATTTGTACGATATTTAGTTAATTGATGGATTTAACATCAAGGAATCTATCAATACCAAATGAGATAGTCTCAATGAAAAACAAAACAAAACGATTTTTTACTTCATTTCACAAAATCTATTTCACAAAATTTCCTCTAGGTATGCATATAATTCCTTTACTATAAAGAAACAACTAACTTCATTTTTTACACCCCCTGTAAATTTGATGTGTTTTTGTTTTGGTTTTCGTAACTCAAGAATAAACGATGTAACGATTAAATCAACTTTTCGTTAAATACTTTTAGATAAAAGCTTTAATATGTCATATTCTCAAGAAACATGAATCGGGACGAATATATTTTGTACATGCTTAATAAAATGTACGGTTAAACGTCGTAAGGGTATAAATGATGTACTTGTTAACTTTATAAATAAGTACCACACCCCGTTAGCTCGTTGTATTACCTTCGTGGAAATGTATGCAAATTTAACTCAATTAAACTTGTAACAAACAAACAATGTAGAAATATTACAGTAGGTGACAAATTATTAAAAAATTCAAGACGTTATATATGTATGAACGTGATATAAATATACATACACAGAACCGATTGGAAGTCATTTGTGTACAAAGTACCCATGATTTTGTTGGCATGACTTGCAAAAAGTCAATGTATGCATACATCATTTAATAATGGCGATACAGGTGGTAATATGGATAATGGTGACGGTATTGATAATGATTATACCAATGATGATAATGCAGTGTGTCCCAGAAAAAGCGAAACCGAGAATTATCGATTTTTTATCATAACTCAATCACAATTATAATTAATAAACGCCACATATTTGTAAAGCTTAGGTCTTCTTCTGTTATTCGATGCAACTCATATCAAGCATATTGTACGCATGAGTGAATAAAAACAATTTGAAGAGAGGGTAACACAAATTTATTTGGCGGGCGGTATCTGACAAGAATTACTTTATTCCTGGCTCATGTTTCCTGATTAGGGTGTCATATGAAAGGGCAGATAATGAACTTTTTAGAAATTTAATTTCTCTTCGAAATTCAGATACTGCTCACCAAATGACTTGTTGGTACTCCCTCTAAAATATGCATCATATGAGTTGCATGAAATGAAAGAGGAGGATCTAAGCTTTACAGATATGTGGCGTGTATTAATTATAATTGTGATTAAGTTATAATAAAACATCGATAATTCTCGGTTTCGTTTTTTTCTGGGAGGCACTGTACAATAATAACTATCATAATAGGCTTACATCTCAAAGTTCTCCTTTGTAAAATGGCGTAGGACATGTAACATAGTAAGTTAATGAATGATTAAATATACAATCTTAAATGGAATAATCAGTGAGACAAAGGAATTTTAACAAACACGGTAACAATGATGATAATACCCCCCCCCCCCTCCCCCACCCCCACCCTCACAAAAAAAGAGAACAGGAGAAAAATTACGATAAATTGGAATAACAATAATCATAATAATAATAATAATAATAATAATAATAATAATAATAATAATAATAATAATAATAATAATAATAATAATAATATAACTAATACTACTACCAAAAATGATAATAATGGAAGATCATCAAGGATGATGATGATGACAGGATATACAACATTTCATTCCAGTGTATGTAAGATCTAAAGGGACTTAAAAATTAAGAAAATGGTTTATCTTTCGATTTTTGCCATTTTGTTCGTTACACCGGTGTATGATATATCTATACTCAGACTTGCACTTCATATACCACAAAGTACATATCATTATGTAATAGAAGGAAAACAGTCACTTAGTGATATCTAGATGTCAATCTACAGAGAATGATATGCAATAAATTCCTTTCATTAGCAGAAATGATTTTATACGACTTTTATTTCCTGTGAACAGTTTATAATGTCACCTCCTAAATGCGTAAAGATAATACTAATTATCACAAGATAAAAGTTTCACCCTTCTTTCACCAATAATTGAACATAACATGGTTTCCTTTTAGTATCACTATTACTTATATAGTGGGGAGATGAATAAACAACGTACAATTAATATACTTCAGTGAGGGTGTTAGTAAAACTTATACCCTTAAGCTGATCTTTGGGGAAAGTTTGGAATGTTTATAAGGTACCCATAATTCGCTTTCACTGGCTGCCTGCCGTAGCAACAAACAAAGTTGACAAAATACTTAATTCCGTTTCGTTGACGATCAGCCAGGCATCAACTTTTTCGTCTTCTTTGTGCATGGATGATCGTCAACGAAACAAAATTAAGCCTCAAATTATGGAAATGCAAGCATTACTTGAAACAAACATAACTTTGTTTTTCCTGGCTCATTTTTCCTGATTGAGGTGTCATATGAAAGGGCAGAAAATGAACCTTTCTGAAAGCAATTTTGTCTTTGAAATGCAGATACCACCCTCCAATTAACTTTTTGTTTACCCTCTCTTCAAATTGTATTTAATCATTCATGCGTAGGATATGTTTCATATGAGTTACATCAAATTAAAGAGGAGGATCTAAGCTTTAAAAATTTGTTTCATTTATTGATCATAACTGTGATTGAGTTATGATAAACATCTTTAATTCTTGGTTTCGTTTTTTTCTGGGACGCAATTTATATGTATATATTTATATTGTTAGATTGCAAGTTTCGGTGAAAACTAGGTGACATACTGCGAGGTACGCTTCATGGCACTTACAAACTGAAGAAGAAAAAAAAATGATTGGAAATACCCGTGGTTAATGGCTTAGTGTGCAATCCCGTCAATTTTGAAGTGACTAAAAAAGATTGAATAATTAATTCCAATTATTAACACAATTAATGAATAAACATGAAAAATGAAATCCGGCATGTAATATTCATTCAAGTTCAAAATGAAGTTTTGTTTTGACTCGTCAGCGGACCTGATCAGTACACAGGCAGGGTAGAGGTCAAAAAGGCAAATGGAAGTTCTAAACATATATCGACAACGCCAAAATAAAACCAATATTTACGTTACATTGATCTACTGAATGTTGTTTACCTGCTGCCCCCCCCCCCCTCTCTCTCTCTCCTTACCTCTCTTCCAACCTGGCGAAACCATATATACCGTAACGGCATTCAACTTTTGAGTTCTTTAAATTGAAGCAAAAATACTATTCAATATGCATCTATATGTGTAAGATTGTAAAATATGAGACTCCTTTCCCTCACATTAGCATAAGTAATTTGATATACGTTTCACTTCCAACTTTCTAAATTAGTATTAAACTAAGTAAGTACATTGAGTTTATTCAATTTCGTGCGAAATCAAATGACAGCGTAGTCACACTTGGCGAAATAAAATTACGATTACGCATTTCGAATTTAGTTGAAATACACCCTAATTTGAATGTGAAACGCGGGGTTTTCGAAACACAACATACAATTATGTTTAGAAAGATTCAACCATGGGAACCGCAATCAACCCAAATTTGAGTGAACTTGAATTAATGTTGAGAAGTAAAACATTTTTTCGGACGAATTTGGCAGGGAAAATCTATTAACATTTTGGCATTCCGAGTATAAACTGGTAAATAAAGCATAGAAGAAATGTAAATAATATTTTATATTATTTAAAAATAAAACGAATGACATTTCCCACGATCACCCAGACGTGCTTTTGCTATTATCTTATACATTTTAATGACGACGAAATAACAAAATAACTGCAGAAGATACCAAATATTAGAAAATTTATATATTTTGTAACTTCTACGGTTGTTTCATTATTTCTTTTTCGTCAATCACCGCATAAATATTTATACACATATGTATACATTTATGACAGGCCATTGTATTAGTGTTGGGACTTAGAGTACAATATACTCTGTCTCTATTTTCATCTATTTTGAGATTGATGTTCTAATAGGTAGGATAGCGAATCGGTCTGGTCAATTAACGTTTTCCTTACTTGGCATGATCGTTAAATAAATAAGGATGGATGACTGGATGTAAGTCAACTAAAACATTTTAATTTCGTCTTCAAAAAAAGAAAGCAAGATAAAAATTATACTTACAGTCTAAAAGGTTTGTCACTTGTGATTTTTTGTCTTGTAACAAAAGGGTATCGCACTCTCTTTAAAGACATATTATAATATAACAAATGAAATGAAGAAATTTAAATGAAATGAGCTCTAAGCATTTAAATATTTCGTTATTAGTGTTAATATCAAATTTCGCTAAACAAGTGGATGTTTTTATTGACTGGGGCAGCACGATCGGTATGACGTTAGTGTAAGATTGCACTTACGGGGTTACTTATCACCAAATGTGCACGTTTACTCCAACGTCACACAAATACCAAACATACGTTGGATGCCACAAACCAGGTGAGGCTTTTGAACAGACCGATAATCGGAATTGTTTTTGTTGTGCTTTTGGGTGGGGGAGGGGGTTCATGTTAGAAAGTACCCTTTAAATTCACTTATCAATCAACATAAAAAAGTCCGAATATATTACACAATCAAAAAATTATTTTCAGTTTTTTATATTTCGTTAATTGCAATGCCGATACGTCGTTGTGTTTGTAAAGTAGTTAAGTTCCTTTGTTGCGCAAGGTAATGTAATCTTGGTTGTGCTGGTAAAACATCGACGCAATAGTTGCGAACGTTCCTTGAAATTTGATATACTAAGCAGTCATCTGCACATAATCTAACAGTGGTGTCACGAGACAGGTAATATGGCAGGTAATACATGAACAAAAAGAATAACCTTAGACCGATGACACTACCCTGCGGAACTTTATACGTCACTTGGGACTTGTATTTTTGTATGAAATCTCATTATTTGATAAATTATCGCATCGGATCCTGTGTGCGTGAGTATCATAAATATTTATGACTAGTGCATGACCTCGCCCGAAAGGAGACATGATATCGAGGTGAGGCGTTGATTATTGCCTCTTTAAATGTTTGTACTTAAGTTCATGAATATGCGACTATTACAACTTTGTGTCTACTGTGCCATGAACATCACTACTGCGACGGATACCAGTGCAATATAAGTTTTCATATTATTATTTGTATCAATAGTAGTATTATTATTGGTATCAGTATTATTATTATTATTATTATTATTATTATTATTATTATTATTATTATTATTATTATTATTATTATTATCATTATTAATAATAATAATTTTATTATTATTATCAATAAGCCATATACCAACCTGTGAAACCCATCGACATCGTACGAACTATGTCGAGCGGTTTTGCTTGGAATTGAAGTGCTGAAACCCATTTTGTGTGCATATTATGAAAGGAACATAAAATAGTCCTTACGGTCTTTACACAAATTACACACGCGCACGTTTTCCAAAGTGTTATGCCTATTTTCAATCTGGAACATTTAAATTCATTAAAACTGAATTTAACTCATCAGCTAAAAACCGAAAAAGATATTCCGCTGCATTGGTTCATGTACAAGCCGAGATACAGGACGACCGCTTTGCCATCGTACCCATAATTGTAATAATGAATAAAAAAATAAATAT